ACTCCTGGGATTGACATCTCATTTTTGAAATGTTATTCGAGTGAAATGAGGAATGCAACAGGAGAATAATAGTTGTTTCCCCTGATTTTGGAGTCTTTGCTATTCGAAATTAGCGGATGTAGTTCCCCTAACACCATATTTTGTACTGATGCTTTGTGTGCGGAAACATGAATTTTTATTTTTATCCTTCCATATAACCTGAGAAATAGGCATAAATGAAAAAGGGGGGTTGGAAGGAGTCATCTCTGAGATTAAAGGGTTGAACTGCTACTAATTATCTTTCTGATACTTATAGAAGAATTACTGTTTGATGTTTGTTGCTCTTTTTTTTTTCAGTGGAAGGAGAATCACATCCAATGGCCAGAGAGATCTTGACCAAGTTGCTGGAAGAATTGCTGTTGCCATTTAAGAGAGATGAAAGCAAGCCTTATTATGAATACATGAGTTTCTTCAAACTTATAATTTCAGCTTGGACCAGTAGGGTGTTGAATCAATTTTCTGCATGTTTTGCCCTTTTTTCTTTTATCATGGGATTCTTTTTGCATCAGTATGCTAGTTGTCCTTTCAGTACTTTAAGATGTTACTTGGGCCTGCCCTCTATTTGAGCATAACATTCTTATTTTCGTTAAGGGTGTGTTTTATATGGAGGAAAATATTTTGCTAAAACAGTAAAAACTAATTTTCTTTTTCAAATAGCTAAACTCACTCTATATTTAGTCATGCTGTCAATCTTTATTATTTTGAAAGGATCTGAGTTCTATGCACTGCAAAAGTACAAAAAAAATTCCACTATAAGTCTAATTTAAATTGTGATGGAAATCCAGGTTATTCTACTATAGAAGTATATTTGTAATTGCTTTATAGGTAAATTGATTGTATAAAAGCTTTACATTATTAGTGTAAATAATTTATACTTTATTTGAATTATGTCAAACGTATATTCATATATTACACTGCTCGGACAATTACAATATAAAACTACTTTTCCTGGTTAGAAGATATCAGTGGCCTAGAAGCGAAACGAGAAGAGGTAACACCTGAATGGTATTGTCTAGGTTTCACTCTTTAGACTGATCGTACATGTGCCTATTTTTTTCTTTCTATTGTATTACGGGCCTAAAAGATAACATGAAGTTACACTATGAACCGAAGGCGTGGAGAAATATAGCGTTACTTGCTCTCCCTAAGCTATTTGGCTGTGCACTCAGAAAGCTCAGTGTTGCAATTTGAAAGTCCGCCTATCCTGTCTAATATCGTACTTACACCACACAGTAAATCCCAAATTTTAATATGCGGCATCTTCTACTAATTTCTTCTCCATTAGGTACATAAAATATTTTAATGCCCTCCACTTTCCCCTACTGCCACGCTCACTTTTGCGACTTTGTTTCAAGATCTTTTAATTGGCAAGTCATAACATACACATCTTTGACGTGGTATTTTTTGTAAAATAGCTAAAAATATAGATTTCTCAAAAATATTTATTGGCAATTGGGCAATGGCAAGAAAGCCCACTACCATAATGGCGTGGTATAGCCACTTTTTAAAGTGGTATTTACCTTTTAGCCAGTGTTTTTAATGTTGAGTAAAAATAGTCACTACTCTATTAAAATTGATACGAAAAGTCTTTTTTACCCTTTCTTCATGAATGATGTGTAAATATTAAGGACATGGAGTCCTTAACTTTATGAGTGATGTGTAAAAAATATTAAGGACACCATGACTTTAACATTTACACTGCACATATGAAGTTAATGACACAATGTCCTTAATATTTATACATCACTCATGAAGTTAAGGACACCTTAACATTTACACTATACATATGAAGTTAAGGACATGATGTCCTAAAGTTTAACAACAGAAGTTGCAAATACAACTTAATGATATTATGTCTTTAACATTTACATTGCACACATGAAGTTAAGGACACCATGTCCTTAATATTTACACTGCACATATGAAGTTAAAGACGCCATGTCTTTAATATTTACATTGCACATATAAAGTTAAGGACACGTTGTCCTAAAGTTTAACAACAGAAGTTGCAAATACATTTACACATCACCTATGAAGTTAAGGACATCGTGTCCTTAATATTTACACATCACTCATTAAGTTAAGGACACTATGTCCTTAACATTTACATTGCACACATAAAGTTAAGGACACCATGTCCTTAACATTTACACTGCACATATGAAGTTAAGGACACCATGTCCTTAATATTTATACATCACTCATGAAGTTAAGGACACCATGTCCTTAACATTTACACTATACATATGAAGTTAAGGACATGATGTCCTAAAGTTTAACAATAGAAGTTACAAATACAAGTTAATGATATTATGTCCTTAACATTTACATTACACACATGAAGTTAAGGACTCCATGTCCTTAACATTTACACTGCAAATATGAAGTTAAGGACATGATGTCCTAAAGTTTAACAACAGAAGTTGTAAATACAAGTTAATGATATTATGTCCTTAACATTTACATTACACACATGAAGTTAAGGACACAATGTCCTTAATATTTACACTGCACATATGAAGTTAAGGACATGATGTCCAAAAGTTTAGCAGCAGAAGGTGCAAATAAAGGACACTTTGTCCTAAATATTTACATAACATTCATGAAGTTAAGGACACCATGTCCTTAACATTTACACTGCACATATGAAGCTAAGGACACCATGTCCTTAATATTTATACATCATTCATGAAGTTAATGACACCATGTCCTTAACATTTACACTATACATATGAAGTTAAGGACATGATGTCCTAAAGTTTAACAACAGAAGTTGCAAATACAAGTTAATGATATTATGTCCTTAACATTTATATTACACTAATGAAGTTAAGGACACTATATCCTGAACATTAACACTACACGTATGAAGTTAACGACATGATGTCCTAAAATTTAACAACAGAAGTTGCAAATACAAGTTAATGATATTATGTCCTTAACATTTACACTGCACATGTGAAGTTAATGACATGATGTCCTAAAGGTTATCAGGAGAAGATGCAAATATAACACACTTCGTCCTTAATATTTACACATCACTCATGAAGTTAAGGACACTATGTTCTTAATATTTACAATGAACACATGAAGTTAAAGATACCACGTCCTTAACATTTACACTGCACATATGAAGTTAAGGACATGATGTCCTAAAGTTTAACAAAGGAGGTGCAAATACAAGTTAAGGACATTATGTCTTTAACATTTACATTGAATACATGAAATTAAGGACACCATATCCTTAACATTTACACTATACATATGAAGTTAAGGACATGATATCCTAAAGTTTAAAAACAGAAGTTGCAAATACAACTTAATGATATTATGTCCTTAACATTTACATTGCACACATGAAGTTAAGGACACCATGTCCTTAACATTTACACTGCACATATGAAGTTAAAGACGCCATGTCCTTAATATTTACATTGCATATATGAAGTTAAGGACACGTTGTCCTAAAGTTTAACAACAGAAGTTGCAAATACATTTACACAGCACATATGAAGTTAAGGACACCGTGTCCTTAATATTTACACATCACTCATGAAGTTAAGGACACTATGTCCTTAACATTTACATTGCACACATAAAGTTAAGGACACCATGTCCTTAACATTTACACTGCACATATAAAGTTAAGGACACCATGTCCTTAATATTTATACATCACTCATGAAGTTAAGGACACCATGTCCTTAACATTTACACTATACATATGAAGATAAAGACATGATGTCCTAAAGTTTAACAACAGAAGTTGCAAATACAAGTTAATGATATTATGTCCTTAACATTTACATTACACACATGAAGTTAAGGATTCCATGTCCTTAACATTTACACTGCAAATATGAAGTTAAGGACATGGTGTCCTAAAGTTTAACAACAGCAGTTTCAAATACAAGTTAATGATATTATATCCTTAACATTTACATTGCACACATGAAGTTAAGGACACAATGTCCTTAATATTTACACTGCACATATGAAGTTAAGGACATGATGTCCAAATGTTTAGCAGCAGAAGGTGCAAATAAAGGACACTTTGTCCTAAATATTTACATAATATTCATGAAGTTAAGGACATGATGTCCAAATGTTTAGCAGCAGAAGGTGCAAATAAAGGACACTTTGTCCTAAATATTTACATAATATTCATGAAGTTAAGGACACCATGTCCTTAACATTTACACTGCACATATGAAGTTAAGGACACCATGTCCTTAACATTTACACTGCACATATGAAGTTAAGGACACCATGTCCTTAATATTTATACATCATTTATGAAGTTAAGGACACCATGTCCTTAACATTTACACTATACATATGAAGTTAAGGACATGATGTCCTAAAGTTTAGTAGCAGAAGGTGCAAATACAGGACACTTTGTCCTAAATATTTACATAACATTCATGAAGTTAAGGACACCATGTCCTTAATATTTACACTGCACATATGAAGTTAAGGACACTATGTCCTTAATATTTATACATCCTTCATGAAGTTAAGGACACAATGTCCTTAATATTTATACTGCACATATGAAGTTAAGGACATGATGTCCTAAAGTTTAGGAGCAGAATGTGCAAATACATGACACTTTGTACTAAATATTTACACAACATTAATAAAGTTAAGGACACCATGTCCTTAATATTTACATAATATCTATGTCTAGCACAAGAGTACTTTTGTCTGACGGGTAAAAATTTATTAAGCATTTATTAAAGAGTAAATATATTTAAAATAGTGACTAAAATATAAAGACATCTCTAATCGGTGACTATACGTGCACTTCCCCTTCGTTAGGATGATCACGGATCAGTAGCGTGTATCCGACGTTTGCTCCAGTATAAATCCGATTGTATAGGGCCCACTCCAATATACACTAGCAGAATGGGCCTTCTTCAATATACACTATGAGAATAAAGAATCGCTCCACGTGTACTGTCTCCGAAGCGTCGCCCCTCCTCTAGATGTAGGAGGAAGACATAAGATCTGTAGAAACTTATAAATTCATAATCATAATTAAGCCGTTGCCTAACGCACTTTAATAACGTTCAACAGAGGAAAAAAAGGAGGAGATAAAACAAGGATTAAATTCTCCATTTGATTAAAGCAAAAGAGCAGAGCAGATTTGGGCTTCGGCTTTTGCATTCTTCGCTCTACTTTGCTTCGATTCTCCATTTTCTCCTTGGCCTAGGGTTTTGCAGCTACTCCTCTGTTATAGAAATAAACAGAGAACGCGACTAATCCCGATCTCTCTTTTAATTTTGTTAAATACGGTAAGATTATTAACTATGTAATGGTTTTGTTGATTTGATTGACTTGTTATTCACGAACTATGATCACGTTGCTTTCTTCGTCCTTCCTTTCAAAATGAGTTTTGACTTTTGAGCCATTTCGTGATTGTCGGTTATAATATCAGTTTAACTAATTATTTTGTTTTGCTTCCATTTCCTAGAGATTTCGTTTGAAAGTTGTTTTATCAAACGATTTAATTCGAGAAGCAAGTACATTGTTCTTTGACTCAATGGGAATGATAGTTGTTTCCCTGTGCAAAAAGTGGCATATGAATACTATATTCTAACTTGTATAACATTTATGCAGTATAATAGTTTTACTTTCTGTTTAATGTTAGGTAAATGTATACTGTATACATGTTCAATTTATTCTTTCCTTAGCTAAAATTAGGTTAACATTAGAAGAATTCAGCCACGGTTTAGTGGGATATTTCTGGGCACTTGTCTGATATAAATTTTATTCTCATATTTGCAGGTTATTTTTGTTTCTTACTGTGTTGATTCGATGGTTTAAGGCCCTTCCAGGATCAAAGTGAATAAGTAGGATTTCAAGGATGAGATGAACTGAAGTATCATCATCTTTAGACAAAGGTTTCGAAGTAGTAAGCTACAATATATGGCATATTAGGGGTAAAACGAAACCCAACGTAGGATACTAACACCAGCTTGGCTTTAGATTGTGGATGTGTTTGTGGAGGAGGTGAATGATGCTGTTATTCGTAGCCTAATGCTTGCCTAGGTTCTTATTTATACTGACATACCTGTATTTGTGTACTAAGTATGGAATTATAGAATTTTAATATGGAAGACTATAGAGAATCAGAGCTTCCACTTCTTAGCTGGATCAGCAAAAATCCTTCTGAGATGGCGGAATCCCCTCTGTTTATTGTCTCCTGTGTCATTGCTGGTTTAGTTGGAATTTTAACTATACTTTACACAGCTTTCCAGTGGAGAAGGAGCACAAATGGTAGTTGGATGAAAGCCATAGCCAGATCAAAGAAAAACCCGAAAACAAGGAATAAGGTCCCTGTGGCTCCTCATACTTGGGCTTTAGAAACTGTTTCTCGAGGGAAAAGTTTAAATTGTTGTGTCTGTTTAAAGTCCATTTCTCCATCTCAGACTCTTGGCCCAATTGTGGCTTCGGAAAGTTTCTTTAATCGTTGCAGCATATGTGGCGCGGCAGCTCATCTGAGTTGCTCATCTAGTGCTCACAAGGATTGCAAATGTGTATCTATGTTTGGATACCCTAATGTGGCACATCAGTGGGCAGTGCGCTGGACAGAGGTAGCTGATCAACCTGATGAATCTTATTTCTGCAGCTACTGTGAAGAGCCATGCAGTAGTTCATTTCTTGGTGGGTCCCCTATATGGTGTTGCCTGTGGTGTCAGCGTCTAGTTCATGTTGATTGTCATGCCAATATGTTCAATGAAACTGGTGATATTTGTGACCTGGGCCCTTTCAGAAGGCTTATTCTATCGCCACTTTATGTGAAAGAGCTTAACAGGACTTCTTCGGGTGGACTGCTGAGTTCTATCACACAAGGGGCCAATGAGATTGCATCTTCAGTACGTGCTACCATAATGAGTCAAAGCAAGAAATACAAACACAGTAATGAGAAACATGGGAGCGGGACCCCTGCAGAGACAAGCAATGGTGATGCTACTGGGGACACAACTGCTGAAAGCACTGCTGATAGTCATCAAGTAAATGGTGATTGTAGAATAGAGGAAAATTGCAATGGCTGTGTAAATAGAGAGGGTGTGGATCAGCAGCAAGACAGTGGTGTGAAAAAGATGATATCTATGCCCAGCTTCCAGAGGAGTTCATCCATTAATCAGAAGGATGAATCTCAATTAATAGTGATAAGGCAGAAATATGAATTGACTGATTTGCCTCCAGATGCCAGGCCTTTGCTAGTTTTTATAAACAAGAAAAGTGGAGCTCAACGAGGAGATTCACTTAGGCAGCGGTTAAGCCTTTTATTAAACCCAGTGCAGGTGAGGTGAAGCTCCTTAGCTACTTACTGTTCTTTTAGCATCCATCTTGTGAATAATTCTTGCTCTCTCTATTTATCTATCAGTAGTGAATCAGTGCTACAATTACATTTTGAGGAATGTTACCATAGTTAATTCACCTGTCCTTTAAATGGCTCCGAGGGCTTGCGCTTGTAGCTGCTAAAAAGATTCTATGAGCCTTATTTTATCTGCCAACATGCTTTTTTTCCCATGCTTTTGAAAGTGTTGTAACACATTCCCTTGGATAATTGTAAATGTACCGCCTAATAATGTTTCATTATCAACGATTGACTTAGGCAGATATCTATCAGGTGGAGGAACAAATATGGTGATAGATAAATACATTATCCCTTTACAGGTTTTCGGTGCGGCGGAGTGCTATCCTTTTTATGCTACTTGATTATATGCCTTATGAACATCATTAAAGATGTCTAGTCTTTTCTGTTTAAAGGCTTTTTTTGTGGTCCAGCTTTTTCAGTAGATTCATGAATGTTTTTGCCAGCAAGCCAATGTGTTGATCTGATTTTCCATGGATATGCTAATAGGTCTTTGAGTTGAGTTCAACCGAAGGGCCCGAAGTTGGTCTGCATCTTTTTAGAAGGGTGCCTCACTTCCGGGTTCTTGTATGTGGAGGTGATGGTACTGTAGGCTGGGTTTTGAATGCCGTAGATAAACAAAACTATGTTTCTCCTCCACCAGTGGCAATACTCCCTGCTGGGACAGGAAATGATTTGGCTCGAGTTCTTTCCTGGGGAGGTGGCTTGGGTTCTGTAGAGAGACAAGGTGGTCTTTGCACACTTTTGCATGATATAGAACAAGCTGCAGTAACTATCCTTGATCGATGGAAAGTTTCTATCTTAGACCAACAGGGCAAGCTGCTTCAAGCCCCGAAGTTCTTGAACAACTACCTTGGTATGGTAACTGTTCTTCTGTGGACGGCAGATGATATATTAAGTTTGCTGTACTGGAGAATGTTATGATCATCATCTCACTTTCCCACTGTTTTTTTCAATTTTAATTTTTTTTTGGTTGCAAATTTTGATGAGTGTTCGTTATTGATGTTCCAGGGGTTGGTTGTGATGCAAAGGTTGCATTAGAAATCCATAATATGAGGGAGGAAAACCCCGAGAAGTTCTACAATCAGGTATGCAGATCATCTTCTATGATCATGTGGAGCATGATAATTGGGTTTGTGAATTTGGTTTGATAAAGAAATAGGTCTGTAGAGTTTAAAGTTTGCTTTTGACTTACCTAATGAAATGCATCATCCGTGTATTCATTCATCTCTTGTTTGTAGGATCGTATGGTATTTTTTTTGGCGTAACTGAGAGTTATCTTCCATGTATGTCTCCTTTCTATTTTATATGCATTTGTGACTGATTTTTTTTTTTGGTTGCAAAAATGCTGCAGTTTATGAACAAAGTTCTTTATGCCAGAGAAGGTGCTAAGAGTATCATGGATCGGACATTTGCAGATTTTCCATGGCAAGTTAGGGTGGAGGTTGATGGTGTTGAGATTGAGGTTCCTGAGGTGGTGACAAAAGGCTTAACTATTCTTGTGGAAAAAACATTTTTGCTTCGAATTATCTACTTTTAGTCATTTGATGTGTGATTCTTACTGCAGTCTATCTTTTAGTAACTCTCATCATTCTTATAGAAGTTGCAATAATACTATCAACTCTCTAGAGATACTAGGAAATATTCTAGTCATTTGATGGTGTTGAGATTGAGGTTCCTGAGGTGGTGACAAAAGGCTTAACTATTCTTGTGGAAAAAACATTTTTGCTTCGAATTATCTACTTTTAGTCATTTGATGTGTGATTCTTACTGCAGTCTATCTTTTAGTAACTCTCATCATTCTTATAGAAGTTGCAATAATACTATCAACTCTCTAGAGATACTAGGAAATATTCTATCACGATAGTCGATAAAAGATGCAAAAGTTTATAAGAAAAATTTGGTGGATAATTCTGTATATTCTTCTTAAAGATGTTTTATCGAGTCATCACGGTCTTGAAACCACCTTCAGCAACTAAAAGATTATTGATCTGTAATGATAAGTTATTACTTTGTGACTTGATCTGCAGGATGCAGAAGGTGTTCTTGTAGCTAATATTGGAAGCTACATGGGTGGAGTAGACTTGTGGCAGAATGAAGATGAAACTTATGACAATCTTGATCCTCAATCCATGCATGACAAGATGCTGGAGGTTGTCAGCATTTCTGGGACCTGGCATCTTGGGAAGCTTCAGGTATATAGGAAACGATTTCTGAGACGTTAATGTAGCAAAAGTAATTTTCATGGTCCTGGAGGCTGTTTCTTTTTTGTTGAGGAAAAATTTCTCGAGTCTTAAAGTAGCTTCATCTCAGCCCTCAGGCAGTTGTCTATGTTGTGTGTTCATATCATTACTGGAGAGACGTTCAGTAATCACATCTGGTGATCCTCTGACAAGAGTTGCTGCAGTTGTATAACTGGAAGAGCACTTTTTGATGGTTATTGGCATGATGTGTCTATTTGATCTTTCAGCTACTTTTGGATTTCACTCTTTTGTGATAAGGTTACTACTCTTGCAAACAGGTGGGGCTTTCGAAAGCTCGGAGGCTTGCACAGGGGCAATTGGTCAAAATTCAACTTTTTGCTGGATTTCCTGTTCAAATAGATGGAGAACCCTGGTATCAGCAACCATGTACATTGACAATAACACATCATGGACAGGTCAATTACACTTGCGTATCCTTTGTTTTTTTCCAAGGGTGTGGAGAGGGGGAGGGAGAATGGGTTTTCACGTTAAATTTATTGAACTAATGCAGAATCTATAATTTGTTCTTGCTGCTGTTACAGGCCTTCATGCTGAAGAGAGCAGCAGAAGAACCTCTAGGTCATGCAGCAGCAATAATTGCTGATGTGCTTGAGAATGCGGAATCCAATCAAGTGATTGATGCGTCACAGAAGCGGGCACTTCTTCAAGAAATGGCCCTTAGACTCTCTTAGACACACATTGATTTATTAGGTTGCAGCAGTTGATAGGAAGTTTTGTATAAAGTCCTCTACCTTTTTGTACAGGTTCTTCCATCTCACATGTAAAATATATGGAAATTAGAAATGTATACAAAGCTAGTCAACATCGAGTGAAGAGGCAAATTTTATGATGGTTGGACCAGTGTCCTCGTGGCCCTACGGTCTAATTTGTGCTCCCTTTGGGCGTGTGTTTATATAGTACCCCACAAACAGTGACTGTAACAATATCCAAACCACCCAGTAGTTGAAGATTATGGGTTGGCCGATGCTTGCAGCTTTTAGCTGTTTGGACCACCGTAGTGGGTTAAGGATAAATGGTGGTGTAGCAGCTTTCTTCTATTGCCTGTTGTTTCGATGAACATCTTACAGGAAGGAGTCATACATAGGGAAAAGAAGGCAAAATACCTTAAAACTCCCCTAAACTTGGCACACATTATTGGTTACATACTTGAACTATCTACGGTCTTTATTACCCCCTATATTTAGTTATCCGATAGCTGTTATCCCCTTGGACGATCTCATCCCAGGAAAGTGGCATGCACTCACCTGCCACGTGAATTTTTCTGTTTGTGGCATTTTTTTGAAAAATGAAATATATTTTTAATAATATTTTTCGAATAAAATTTATAACAAAACTTGGATAACTACATTATTTAGGTTAATTTTTTTATTTGGCTAAAAATAATAAAGTTTTAGTTATTCTTTTTTTGAATTTGACCCGACAATAAAGATTTATACAATTGAAATAAATAGTCAAGGTATCTAAAAAGTTATAAAAAATACATAGTTTGAAATTTATTATTTTGGCTATAATATTTTATATAGCTCTAAATTATGGTGCTCTAATTTTTTTTTTTTTTTTTTTTTTTTTTTTTTTTTTTTTTACAGATTTTACCAGAAAAAGTAAAAATACACAGTTGAAATAAATAGTCATTGCATTTGGTAAAAAATAATGGAGATATGGCCAATTTGTTTTTATTGGTTTGACTCGAAAATAAAAATACACAATTAAAATAAATAGACATTATATTATATATATATATAAAAAAAAGGAAATATACACAACTGGTACTCCATTATTTTTGCTAAAAGTTTTTTATTTGGCTAAAATGATAGAGTTCCTACCACACGTTTTACAAATTCAACCAAAAACAAAAAAAGAAATATGCAGTTGGAACAAATAGACATTATATCTTAGAAGAAATTAAAAATAATAGAAGTTAGAGTAAAGTCCACATTGTATGTTAAGATGAAGCAAGAAGAAATACATAGTTGTAACAAATAAATCATTATATATGACTATATGACAATTAAAAGTTAAAAAATAACCTATTTGAAAGGTGATTTTTCAATTTTTCTTCACTCCCACACGTTTAAAAAAGAGTGCACCCACACTCTTTGCCATAGCAATGTTAAGGGGGTAATGGCTCTCAAAAGGCCAAGTTGAGGGGGGTAATTAAGACCACGAATAGTTTAGGGTTGTAACTAATAATTTGTGCCAAGTTTATGATTTTTTTAAGCTATTTTTCCGAAAAAGAATCATTTCTGCCTGTGAGTAGCAAGTTTGAACGTGCTTCTCAAAGACAACATTTCGTTGCTCTTCACGCTGTAATTCTTGAAGCTCTTCTATAACAAAATAGGAGATTGTTTCCTCAGTTTTTATCTTCAATCCAAGTTTTATCTTACGTCTCGAGTGATACAAAGTTCCATTTCTTTTATTTGGAGTTGGCTGATTTGTTTTTATTATTTTTAACTGTGCGAGATTGATGCCCTTGTTGACAACATTGGGCCTCAGTCAAAATAATATTTGTTTTGTAGACATATCCGACCCAATTATATTAATGACCCTATTGTATTTTCATTTGTATGGTAAAGATATATGTAACTAGAACCTTCTGAAAATAAATGACAATTCATTTTTTCCTTTTTCAGATATTTTCACATGCTACTCTCTCTTTCTCTCTCAAATTAGGGTTCTTACTCATTTCATTTATTTCACAATTATGGGCTGATTTCTGCACATTAACATGGTATCAGAGCCTAGAATCGGTTGATTCTAGCTCCGCTCTATCGATCGATAGTAGATTTACGAAGTTTTGTGGTAATCTCCGCAATAAATTTTCTCTATGTTTGATTTTTTTCAGTGGAATTTTGTGCGATTTAGCTTCAATACAACTTCTGGTTGTTTTACGATGTTTTAGCGGGGAATTTCTCCAGAACTTTGTGTGGTGATTTCTGGTGGTTCGCGGTCTAATAATTGGACAATTGTTGCCGTGATTTTGGGTTAATTTTCAAGGCCTTACTTCTTTAGGTTGCAAGGAAGGACGGTAATACCTTCTATTAATTCTCTTCACGTTCAGTATTGACAAAATTCTGTCAGTCATCTGCATTTTGTGAAACATACCTAATTAGGGTTTTCTCATGGATAGTCCTGAAATTAGTTCATCCTCTACTGCTGATGGATTTGATGACTTTACTGTTCCCCCTTACCATCCATTTTATGCCCATCCCCCGGATAGTCCAGGTACTCATCTAGTATCCCCACCTTTTGATGGTAGTAATTTTGTTATTTGGCGTAAAAACATAATGACTGCACTTTCTTCTAAAAACAAGTTAGGACTTATAACTGGTAGAGTCCCAAAACCTCAATTCCATTCCCCATACTATCAATTCTGGGAACGATGCAATGTGTTACACCATGTGCGTCTCAAGGTGACGTAATAAATATGAAACTTGTTAATCATTATTTAAATGATTTTAAAGTCATAATTTGGCTATATATGATGTTTGGATAGAAAATATGAAGTTTGGAAAAAATCGGATTAAAGTTGCAGAAAAACCGACTAAGGATTTGCCTTGTAACCGAGCTTTTTGAGAAATAAATTTCGTGTGCTATATGAGGTATTTTTGGGACATATTATATACCAAATTTAAGGTCTTGGAATTTAGTTTCCAATTCTCTTAACCGTTTATTCATACAACACTCGGATAAAAAGTTATAAGTATTGGAAGAAGGACCAATGCTAGAGTGCCAAGTAGCATCTTTTGACTTTTCAAACAAAATGGATATTTATATCTTTATCTCGTTTCTTTCTTCAATTTTTTTAGAACACACAACCAAATAAGACCCCTAACTTTACTATTAAGCTCTCTGCAAGAGCTTCAAACAAGATTATCATCCCGGGCACGGAATCAAGAAGTGATAACATTAAAACGATCCCTACGACGTAAGTATTGCTATATCGCCTCTCTTTTTCTTTGTAGTTTGAGTTTTGGAAGGTACTTCATAGTTAATAAAACATGTACTTTCTATATTTAAGTGTTTAAATATCAAGGAAGGTTGGTAAATTCATTTTCTAATAGTTAAAAATCACGGAACGGTGATCGGAAGCCGTGAGTTCGAGTTATTCACTTGTAGCGGACTATTTTGTGAATTATTTTGTATTGTTATTGGGCTGCATGTTTTACTACTATTTTGTGGAGTTTTGTAGGAGTAAGGTTGTGGAGAAACACTACATAAATGCAGGGTGGTGGGATGGTCGTTCGTCGTAACATTTTCGGGCCGTTTGACACTATTACGGTGGTTGTTTTGTGTATGAAGAGATTGGGGTGTGTTGGGATATTTTGTAGTATTTTGTGGTATATATAAGGTTGGAAAATAATGTATACATGTTGATATTATTGTGTTTGGTATTATATTGAATTTGAAGGAAGTAAGGATTATAGGGGAGATGCTGCCCGTTTTAATACAAAATAAGCTTGTCGTTCGTTGTACGATACTTGTACCTTTCGTAACTTAATGATAGTATTATTATTGTTGTTGTAGATTAAGGTACGAAGAGGCGAGTTCAACTTGGTGATTGGAAATATTATGATAAGGTATGTTAAGGCTATCCATTCTTTCCTTTTGGCATGATCCATACGATACAAACGAAACGAACAAATGCACAACTTTCATAAATGACTCTATTCATAGAAGTACTAGAAGTGCCTATGTTCTTGATTCCCCATGTGTCCTATTATTCTATCATCTGTTCACGGGTCTCAGAAAATACATAAGTTGATAAAGTTGATTTCATGATATTAATCGAAGGCATATTAATTTTATGACATACCGAAAGATCTTACGAGCGTACTTCTTATGCATTTCATTCATTTATACATGTACATTGACCCATGACCAGATGGCGTTATATACGTGTATATTATATGTATATGGGATATGAGATATGAAAAAAGGTTACGGCGTTATATACGCACCACCACCTGATCAGCTGATATACGTTGATGATTTTGCCCACAATGAATGAGATGATATGATGGGATTCCCTCAGAGGCTTGATGATATTATGTACGCATATACTTATGCATGGTATGGCATTTATACGCACATGCATGACATTATAAATATTTTCATAATTCACAGAGCTATTCAGACTTACAGGTTGAGTTCCTCACTCCATGTTTCTTTCATGCCTTACATACTCAGTACTTTATTTGTACCGCCGTCCCTTTTACATGGGGACGCTGCGTTTCATGCCCGCAGGTCCCGATAGACAGGTTGAGAGTTCTCATAGTAGGCTATCAACTCAGCAGAAAGTGTTTGTGCACTCCACTTGCTCCGGAGTTGCCTATTTGGTCAGTATGATTTGAATATGTATTGATTGGTATGACGGGGCCCTGTCCAGACCTTTATGACATTTATGTACTCTTAGAGGCTTGTAGACAGATGACATGTATATGGATACTTGTATGGCCTTATCGGCCTTATAGTCTCGTATGTCACATGTATAAGTTTCTATATCATGTTGGGTCATCCTATGTCTAGTATTCCCTTATGTTTTATTCTAGTTATCTTATGACAATCTTTCCGGTTCATTTACCCATGATAGTATGATAAGAATGATACGTTACATTGGTACTCGGTTGAGTTAGGCATAGGGTACCCGTCGCGACCCTACGGTTTGGGTCGTGACACAATGACATGGTCATTACATGGATAACAAACTCACTATCTAGGGATATAACCAATAGCATGATGTGTTTTGATACTGCTAATGATATGTGGGTTGATATTAATGAAAGATTTGGTACCTCAAATGTATTTAGAGGGAAGTTAGTACTACTTCCTAGGGGTCTTTGGACATTGCCACTTATTTCACTAAACTAAGGGGTCCTTGGGATGAACTTAGTATTGCATATGTAGGACCCGTTTGCTCTTGTGGAGCTTTGCCTAAATTCATTGAAGAACAAAAAATTTACCAAA